TTCCTGGCTGAGAAACCATGGCTTCAGATGTGGAGGTGCTGATCCTCATCCCAGCCGCTTCAAATCGGATTGCGAACCGATTCCAGTGAGTGCTGAAGTCCCAGCGCAGACCGATGAAGCCATAGAACCACATCATCTGCAAAAAAAGCAGTGGTGGCATCCTTAGTCCACCGAACCGCGCAGACCCTCCCCCACGACTACGCCTCGAAATCCCGATCCATGTTAATTACAAACAGGATTGGTGCAAAGCGCAGCCCTGGCGGAGGCAACCCTCCACCTGAAATGGGTCCGACCTACTGCCGAGGACCCGGACACAGCTCTCGCTTTGGGGAGTACAGAGATTGGATGGCCTGAGTAGAGACCCTCACCCAACTCACTCCCGCAGCACCACGGCTCCCACATGACTCCGGGAACCCGGTCATGACGCCTTCTCCAAGTCTACAAAACACATGTAGACTGGATGAGCGTACTCCAGGCCCCTCCAGGCGATCCTTGCGAGAGTAAAAAGCTGATCCGTGCGTTCCACGACCAGGAACGTGAATTCCCCCCGTCATTGTTCCTATCCTCAATCTGAGTTCGACAATCCGCCTGACTCCTTTCGAGTACCTTAGAGTAATACTTTCCCGGGGAGGCTAGTAATGTGATGCCTCTGTACATTGCGCAGCCACCACGCCTCTGATCCCCTTTTTAAAAGGGGAACCACCACCGCGGTCTGGGGGCCACTGCCTTCGTAGCTGGGTGTTTCCGACTTCGCACACAACGTTGAGTGAGAGTGTCAACCCGATGACAGGTCCCTCAACACCCAGAGCCTTCAGGCATGTTCTGGGCGGAGGATCGTCATCCACCCGCGGGGCTGTTGCCACTGTGGAAGTTGTTTGACGACCTCAGTGGACCCCCCCGGGAGATGGTGGTGTCGAGTCCCCGTCATACTCAGCTCAGCTCTGCTCTAACATTAGAGGGCGGAGTTGTCGGTCAGGAGTTCCTCAAAGTGCTTCCTGTCCAACCGCCGCTAAACACTCCATCAGTTGAGGTCAACAACGTCCCATCCTACTGACATCAGCTGGGATGGTTCCCCTGCTTCCCCCTCCTGAGTGTCGGACCCAGTTTTCCAGAACAACTTTGGTGCCGCCCGAAAGTCTTTTTCCATATGTCTTCTCCAACTTTCCACCACACCCGCTGCTTTGCATCGGCCAAGCTGAGGCTGCTGCCCTTCGGGCTGTTCCGTACCTTGCCAACTGCCTCAGGAGTCCCCCGGGATAACAAAATCCCTGAAGGCCTCCTTCTTCATCGACGGCTTTTCCCTGACCAAACCGGTGTCCCACCAGGAGGTTCGAGGGTACCTGCCCCTTGAGGCACCTAGGACCTTGAGACCACAGCTCCCCGCCGCGGCTTCGGCATAGAGGCTTTGAACACGACCACTCTGGTTCAATGTCCCCAACCTCCACAGGATGCTCCCCCCCATGCCGAAAAGCTCGCCGGAGGTTGATTTGAGGCTCCTGAACTTTGGGCTCCTCTCCAGACGTTCCCAGTTCACCCGAACTACACGTTGGCTTACCAGGTCTTAATCCAGAGCTCCCCCGCCACTGCGACCAACTCACCACCAGATGGTGATCAGTTGACAACTCCGCCCCTCTCTTTTACCCGAGTGTCCAAAACAACGGCCTCAGGTCCGATGATACGATAACAACAACGATCATGGACCTTCCTGCCTAGGGTGCTCTGGTACCCACTACACTTATGAGCATCCTTATGTTCCGAACATTGGTGTTTGTTAGGCCAATCCATGACTAGCACAGAAGTCAAGTAACAAACCACCACTCCGGTTCAGATCAAGGGGGGCCCGTTCCTCCCAATCACTCCCCTCCAAGTGGTCCTGCCATCATTGCCCCACATGTCGTTGAAATCTCCCAGCAAGATTAAGAGTCCCCTTCAGACCCCATAACAGGACTCTTTCCAGGGTTCCAAGAAGGCCGTTAACTCTGAACTGGCTGTTGGGTGCATAAGCACACACAACAGCAGAGTTTTCCCCCATAACCCGAAGCGCGTAGGGAGGCAACCTCATCGTCACTGGGGTAGACTCCAACAACGAAGCACCCAACCGTGGACTTGTGAGTATCCCCCACCCCGCCCGGCGCCTCACACCTTGAGCAACTCCGGAGAAGAATAGAGTCCAACCCCTATCCAGAAGTAAGGTTCCAGAGCCGACGCTGTGCGTAGAGGTGAGCCCAACCAGATCCAACTGGTAACGCTCCACCTCCCGCACAAGCTCCGACTCCTTCCCCCCCAGAGAGGTGACGTTCCACGTCCCCAAAGCCAGCTTCTGTCGCCCGGGTCTGGTCCGTCGAGACCCTCTGCCTTCACTGCCACCCTTCTGGCAGCGCACCCGACCCCATCGCTGTTTCCCGTAGGTGGTGGGCCCGCGGGACGGAGAAGCGGAGGTGTTGCCCACGTCGCCTTTTCGGGCTGTGCCCGGCCGGGCTCCGTGGCAAGCCCGGCCACCAGACGCTCGCCGACGAGTCCTCCTTCTGGGCCTGGCTCCAGAAGGGGACCCCGGGCTTCCTCCGGGCCGGGTATCCTCACTTCGTGTGTCGTCTTTCATGAGGTCTTCTGAACCAATCTTAGTCTGACCCCTTGCCTGAGACCAATTTGCCATGGGAGACCCTACCAGGAACACAAGGTTCCAGACAACACAGCCCCCAGGTTCATCAGGGCACACAAACCTCTCTACCACGGTAAGGTGCTGGTTCTTCAGAGAGGCAAAAATTAATCAGTTTAACATAAAAGGATTTTTTTGTTTTTTCCCGACAATGTTCGGCTACCACTAACGTTTTCTTAGCTTGATTTTCCAAGAACTATTAAAAAAACCCAAGGACTAACATTCCTTTGTTCTTAAATATATACAAATGGCTGATGTTAAAAGTGTATTGTAAAAATGTGGCTGAAAAAAATATACACATTACATTTTTGACAACTTCTAGCAGAAGACCACAACTCTAAAGGTCCCTACACACCAATATGACACCAAAGAACGCATCCCGACGGGCTTGACTGTTGTGTCGCCTCACGTCTCCTGCGTCTTGGCCAACAGTCACACTGGAACACACCGCAAAGACTTCAGCCGACGGCCAAGTAGCACGTACGAACTGTGCATGCATGAGTGGCAATAACTCTCCTTACCAGCAGGCGGCGGTAGTGTGTATTTGTCATTCAAAAGAGGCAACAACCGGAAGACAGACTATGTGATACACCGAGAGAAGAACAACAGACTGCGTGATATAAACAAACAACAAATAGCATGCGTTCCATTTTCACTCTACAGCGAGAAGCTCATGGGGCTTTCCCGAACCTGTGTCGAGAGCTGGAGTTAAATTAAATCTCAGATTTGCCTTCTTAATCGTTTGTTTGGGTCCCTCACTTCCGTTTCGCTTCTCATGCACTGATTTGCTAAGCTGAACAGCCAATCAGAGTGATTTCTTTAACTGACAGCCTTTTACCGACAGGCGGCAGAATGTGTCAGCACGGCCGAAAAGACACAACGGTGCGGGACACACCAATCTGAGAAGGGTGACAGGACGCTCATCGACGGCCAGACATCTATCGACATCTATCGACGCCGAAAATCTGCCCGGTGTGTAGGGGCCTTAACACATGCCGAAGGGGAATACGACGACCATTATAGGTGATTAAATAACATGCACCGTTAGCTTGATTAAATTATAGTTCTACTTGGGCGGAACATTGTTTTGAACATTTGGGATTATGTGAGTATACAACTCAACAACATATGTGTAAGGGCTAGTCGTATTTTAGACATTTAAATGGAGGAATGTTATAGCTTTAAACCCTGACTGAAATGCATCAATTAACATAATGGACTCCTACAGTAAGAGTTGCAGTATATTGCCACTTCAAACTGCTTGTGAGGAACATTTAGATAAAGGCAGCAGCAGTGGAGTGTGGCTCAGGGACACTGCAGGAAGTCACTGAGAGGAAGTAATTCTCCACACACTGTCAAAGGAATTAACTCCTACTCTATAATCAAATGTCACACCCTGAAGCAAAAAGCGTAAGAAAGGCATAAATCAATATTTGGGGCTATTCACATGACTGATCAGCTCTCGGTCAGCAAAGAGCACTCTTTGCATCGCTACAGTAGCTTTTCAGATTTGATCCTTTACTTGCAAATACGGTGCAGGTGTTTGATACCTGTGAGGCCAAATTCTAGAGTGTCCAGGTTTTAATTCTAAACTCCACAGCTGCTGCTTCCACTGATTAGTTCATTTCTGGCTCAAAGTCAATAGCTGGAATTACTGGAGGTATTTCAGCTGGAATGAATGGCTGCAAACATTCAAACCCCCAAAAGGTAACACCAATACACATAAAGCCAGAAGTGGAAGAAGTGCTCACAGCATTTACTGAAGGTCAAGTTCTAATAGTGTGAAAATACTCAAGTAAAAGTTTGGCATTCAAAATGTTACTTTAGTACAAAAGTATAAGCATCGAAATACACTTAACATACCAAAACTAAAAATGTTGCAGAATACTATATATTTTATTGATAAAATTATACTTAGTGATCCATTTTTATTGTGAACATAACTTTGCAACTTGTAAAGATGGAGCTAACTTTAATGCACGGAAATAATTCAAATATTGACTTGAATTAAATGTATTATGTCAACAGATTACGCACATTTGTATTAGCTTGGTTGAAAGCAATAGTATCAAGTTTAAATAAAAAAAATATTGGGTTGAATTTAACATTACTGCTTTCGACTAACGTAATACAGTAATATGAAATGTGTTGACTTAATACATTTAATGTAAGTCAACATATCAATTTTTTCAGTGTGACAGTCATGTCACATGTGTCTTCATCTATTAAGATACAGTAGATCATAATTCAATTGTGGTTATATTTTGTGTTAATAGTTTGAAGACTTGAGTAACCTACTTAGTTTCTTTGCACTACTGCATAAAGCCCACTCATTGCACCTCACCTGTACATCTTGTATCGGGTGCTGAAGCCCTGCTGGTACCTCTCCGCAGCCTCCGTGAACTCCACCGCCTGCTGGAAGGGCCCTTTATCGGACAGCAGCCAGCCCAGGGGCCCGGGGCCACCGTCTCCTGGCCCAGCGGCGGCCCCGGAGCTCCAGCAGCAGCAGCAGAGCCAGAGGCTGAGAGCCCCCCCCCATAGCAGAGACAGCCGCTTATGACTGGTCCTCTGACAGCTCATGCTTCACCCAGCGACACCTCATCCTCTCCGGACTGCAAGAGGACACACAGTTCACACATTTTAGTGGTGAATAAAAAAGTAGTGCGTCGAGCACATTTGGAGAATCCCTTTTAAATCCAGTATTTATAGTAGTGCAATGTTCTTTATTATAACACACTTACCCAATTTTTCAAAAAAGATTAAATGCGCTCTCAGGAATGAGTGAACTCTATTTGGTGAGAGCCCCGAATAAAAGCTCTCCAGTCCAGTGATCCGAACCAATTCTCTCATCCGTGATGTTCCCAAGCTACTCCAACTTGGTCTCTGCTCGCGCTCAACTTTATTTTGGGTGACGATCCTCCTGCATCCATGCATGCACACGCTCCTTAAACACAAAGGAGTTCATTCTGGTGATGTCCGTGCCCAGGATATGGCAAAATGCAAAATATAGATATCCCCATCCTGTGAAGAATCCGTTCCTTCCGTACGATCCTTAAAGTTGCGGTTTTTCCTGTGGATTCTCGTTAGTGTTGCGAGCTGTTATCCCTCCCCCTCCACGGAGAGAGCTGCTGGATGAATGAGGCTGAGCTGCTGCTCCACACAGAGAGCTCTTTCTTCCCCTGCTTTTTTTTTTTACAAGTGAGATAGCAAGAGGGCGAGCAAGTGCATCATAATGAGGGTGAAATATACAGTGTGTGTATACAACACAGGTGGGAAGTAACTAAATACAATGGCTCTAGTACTGCACTTCAGTAAAATGTGTAACTACTCGTGTAATCTCTTTACTTGATTATTTCCATGTTATGCTACTGTATACTTCTACTCGACTACATTTAAAAGGGAAATTATGTAATTTTACTCTACATTTAGCCTATACAGCAGTAGCTACTTTTAACAAAATGCATCTCAACAGCGCACTAACTCTTTAAGTCACAAAAGAGTACCATTATTTCAATCTTTTATTATAAATATATATAAATATAATTACACACACACACACACACACACACACACACACACACACACACACACACACACATAAAGGCCGTTATTCTGCACAATGATTAATTTTACAATAGTATACTTTGAGTACATTTTGCTGATAATACTTTTGCATAGGCTACTTAAGTAATATTTTGAATGCAGGACTTGTACTTCTAATGAAGTATTTTGACAATAATGTGTTGGTACTTTTACTCGAGTAAAGTATCTGAATACTTCAAGTAAGTACAGTACGTTTCGGATGGCAGGATGATAAAGCTGGTGACAGTGGCGTAACAAGGTTGTGATTGGCCCCGCCCCAAACATAAGCGCACGCTGATGCGCTCACACATGCACGGACATACAAGACCGCTCAGAGGGCTGACCACCACAGCCTGACAACGCAACACACTCTCACTCCCTAAACGTCCAGGAGCGACGCTTGGTCAGGGTCCCGTGGCGTGCAGTTGGGACGCGCCGAGGCTCCTTCAGCTTCATAAACGGACGCAAAGAGCTTTCAACTGATTGCAATGTATTCCCATCGGTGGCGGTATTTGACGCTCAGGGAAGCACCGCATCCGTTACATGTCGGCGGCTGTTAAAGGCAATGTGAGCGTCCATTCCCATTGGATAACGGAGAATTGTACACCCGGAAGTAAGTATTCTCCTTACTGTCGATTGATTTGACAGTGATATCTCCACTACTCATCAACTCAAAAACACCAGATTATCTTGTTGATTAAACCAACATTGATAGGTTTAAATTGTGTACAAGCTTTTGTGTTTTTCCCCTTCAATTCTGAGAAACAAACTTGTTTTCTCTGAAATGTGGAGCGCCAAAGAGACTACACTACCCACAATCCCCAGCTAATTTTTGTGATGACGACTGCTGCCGCTTTGCGACAAACCTTGTGATAAGTCAACAAGCTCTGGATTGGATGAAACAGAAATTCATACAAAAAAAGTCCAACCCTGTCTCCTAAAATTACGTTCCCACAGAACTAAAACTGCATTCTCAATTACGTTTAGCTAGAAACGTATTTTCTCCACGTTACGTTTTGTTATGAACGTATCTCAAACACAGTTTCTTTCTTACCATATCTTTTAGAAACATATTTTCTCACGTTACGTTTGTTATGAACGTATCTTAAATACGTTTATTTTCCGTACATATCTTTGGCCATTTATTGTCTTGCTTATAATAATGCATAATAGTCATTTATAATATAATTTTAGAGCACACATTTTTAAATCGAGAATCGGGGCTCGATATATGGTTAAATTAAAATCAGTAGGCGAGGCCTGTAATCTCCGCCAGCTGGTTACTCTCATGAGCGAGGCAGAAAAATAATAGTTTTAACATGCCAAAAAGCTGTGTCGTTTATTGCACCTCTAATATTAAAACAAATCCAGTAGTTACGTGTGTTTCTGTACTTCCTCTAAAGAACAAAGGGACAGTAAAAGAAGAGCTCTGTGGCTTCAGGCCTTGATCGCCGTTCAAATGACAGCGTTGGTTTCCCCAAAAGTGGGCGGGCTGTAAAGTGACGTAGATTTACTCTCATCTATTATTCAAAACCATTCTATTTATTCCTAACGTAAATTATATGCCAGTGGTTTTAATCTTTTTATTTAGCGATTTGTTTTGCATGTTTAACTGGGAAATGTTTTCATGTTGAACCGGAAGTACGGTCACTTCAACTTTGTCTTCCTTCATCCCTTTTTACGTTCCAGACAATGCATGGCTCAGCGTAACAGACAGCGACCCAGTGTGCCTACATTGGAATGACATCTTCATTTACTGAAGGAAAAATAACTTACCTAGTGTTTGTGTAACCTGGGTTTTTTAATGCAGTTGGCTTTTCTTAAATGGTTATAATATGCTAGGAGTTATATCTGAAGCCAAATTATGTTTCTGAAGATGTGTAGTAAATTCCCACCCTTCAATGTAGCATGAATGTGGAACTCCTCATTTCAGGAACAATACCGGAAACAGACATAGAAAAGATCCCTCAGGCTCGCGATTGGATGTTTAGCCGCAAATGCCACGTAGGGATATGGTGTTATGCGAATGTGGAAATCCGAAAACATTTAAAAAAATAATAATAATACTTTAATTCCGAGTGTTCTTGCTTTTCTCTTGCGAAGTCATCACATACGGCATTGTAATACACGGTTCGGGCGCTGCATTAAATAATTACATATCTGGGCTGTAGTTCTATATTTATAGAAGCCCTGATGAGAAGACTTTCTAGACAAACAGGAAGAAACTGCCGCCAAAACTGAATATGTGACCGTGGATCATAAATATATCAACAAATAAACCACATCTTCATTTTTCTCACCAATACGCTCTTTGCAGTAGCAAATAGTAAAATGGCTACTTTATATTTGATCCATTGGTAGATATGGTTATGATTTACACCATGATAGGTGCACAGCTGGATAGAAAGGACTTGTAGTTTTTAAAGATATTACTGATTTTCTTTGAATAAAAAGAATGTATAATACTGATTTGAGAGAATAGTTCCCCCAAAAGGGGATTTGGGTATGGGAGACACATCAATTGGATCAACAAAATTTCAATAAGCTTACCATTAAATGTACGGATATACCTTATCTGTCTGTGAATGTTTTATCAAACAGATTATTAATGTCCATCCATATCATACCCATCCACCATCTTCCTCCCCGCTTATCCGTGGTCGGGTCGCGGAGGTAGCAGTTCCCAAGCAGAAGAGCCCCAAACTTTATTTTCCTGGCCACATCCAACCCAGCTCGGCTGGGGATCCCAAGGCGCTCCAGGCCAGCCGAAAGAGATATAACCCTCCAACTGGTCCTAGATATTAATGTATAGAGTAACAACACGAGAATAGTAAGCAAAATGCTGGTAAAAAACATGAATAAATACGTACATTATCTCAGATGTTAATACATAGCTATAGTTCCCTACACTTAATAATACAAAGTTATTATTAGTATGCCTGTGTGTACCCCTTGTGTGGCACCGCCTAGTGTAGAAGCACGTTATTTGAATTATTTCGTGAATAATGTTATTTTTGTTGAATAATGTTATTTGTTGAAAAAAACATTAAGAGTACATACTTTCATAGGGAGAAAGTACCGAAAGGTCAATGATAGAAATATAGAATATGAAAAATCCAGAAGAACTAGAATGATCCTCAAAAAACAGTTTAGTTGCTGGATGTNCTAAACTCTGTGTCCTCTACCTGGTGTTCAGCATTTTGAGTTCAGTCCTGTAAGCTCGTGAGTGTGTAACAGATTGTCAATAAAATTGACAGAATGGTCAATACAGGCAGTTGAAAGCTAGGTGTTCAGTGCAAACAGTCTGCTGAATCTCTCCACTCCTCTTCTGACTGGCGGTAGAGGGCCACTGATGAACACCTCCGCATTTAGAGAGCTGACAGTTTCCAACATACATTTAAAGTCTTCTTTCAGCATTTCTGACTGTTGTTTCACAACATCATTTGTTCCAATATGTAGTACCACATTCTTCACAGTCGGATGTACAGCCCCAATATGCAGGATCTTCTCAGCCAAGTCAGAAACCATATCCTTGGGAAAACAGAGTACTTTGGTGTTGTTCTTACTACACAGACCTTTTACATCTCTTACAGCAGAGTCATCCACAATCAGAGTTTCAGGCCCAGTCGTTAGCTTTCCCTCTTTGCCTTTTACTTTTGGAGTAGCTGTTGGTCCTTACCCTGCTGTGTGATCCAGGTAATCAGAAAGAGATCTCCGGTTGTCGGTCATAGGAGCGTATCTGTTCTGGATTGGCAAACTTGGTGGTTTAGGAGGATTGTTTGTAGTTCTCCCTTTATCAGCTGTCCACGGCTGTTTCCTAATAGGAACAGGGGTTGAAGAAGCGCTCTTCCTGGGTGATAACAATGCAGGCCAGCCGGTTGCATCACAGATTTCAGAGCGTTGGGCTCTGCCTGTTATTCGTCCTCCCAAATCCCATGGAAATGATTTACTCTTAGGCTTTGCATCCAGAGAGTTCCATGGAGGACTACCACTTGTAGATTTATTACCCAGTACACAGCCCTCCTGTTCCTTGGAATCCTTGTAGCTGCTAACTAGCTGTGAGTTAGCATACCCTTTTCCATTATTTTGCAACACTGGTAAAGTGGTGTCATTCCCAAGACATAGTCCATTCACTTCCACGTTAACTTCCAACCGTTGCATTTTCATTTCCAACACAGCCATCTTCTGTAGAAGTTTGTGGAAGTCATCTGTAGAGAGCGGAGGCATTTTGCTACCAACTAGCTTAAGCTAAATAGCATGCAGTAGCCTACCAGGCTTTAGCTGTCGCTAGGCTATGCTACTGTAAGACTGAGGTCGTCGTAAAAATGTTTAAATATGGCTGAAACTCTATTTACGAAGATTACCTGTCCCAGGGATAAGTTAATGTCCAGGATCCGCTGCTCGAAGTTTTCAGAGAATAAGAATAGGAAAATCAGCATAAAAAGTAAGCAGAGGCAAGAGCAAGCAGAAAAGCGTCTGCACTGTAAGAAAGATTTCCCTTTTCCAATATAAAGATTTTTTCTTTCAAACTGTATTCATCACCGGATGTGAGAGGACGCTGGCGTCGTTTGCTCGCCGCTTCTCTATCTGGATTTTTTTTACTTTTTTCTACTCTTTCCTCAACATTTCGCGGCGAGCAAACGACGCCAGCGTCCTCTCACATCCGGTGATGAATACAGNTGTCACAGTAACATTTCATTTTTAAGAGGCAGTCGATGTATTTTCATTCTTGTGGAACAACAGCCACTTTGCGGGATGGACTGACGTCTTGCAGAGAGCAATACACAATAATTACAAAAAATTACCGCAACAGACTAATATATTAGTATACGTGCCCGGCGATCACAGACAGCTAGAGGTCTAATTGTCGTCCAAATCTTATTGGACGGCTTTCACGGCTACGAGGTACCGCCTCCGAGGCCATCTTTACGGCCTAAACGCAAAAATGGGGGAATTATTAGACTGGTTACCCAACTTGCGTAAAGGCACGTGTACTGAACACAAATTGCAAATATCAGGCAAACTCCAATAAACGACAAACTTGAGTTTGGCTTGGAAGACTTTTTACTTTGTTACACATTGTTTGACAACCAGCCACCGTGGTCCTTCGCCTGAAATCCACACTTACGTTGGGATTGTGTCTTTTCTGGACAGATTCTGTATTAGGACACCTTTTCGACCACTTTTTTAGTGTGAATACGTCACCACGTGAAGTCGGAATACACCGGTATATGTAGTATTATTGTTTGTAAATAGAACGGTTTTTTGCTGGGGTAATAATGAGATGATCAACACTTAATTCTGCTCCACTCTTTAACTAAACAACCGCGGATGTATTGAAAGACTCTTTCACTAAAGGTTTAGAAGATATCCGCGTTCTTGTGACTCGTAAATACTACACTTCCTATGTTTTGGTGCGGACTGCGTTCACACCAGCAATGAACCGCTCCAGAGTTCGCAAGTAAGCGTTCCGAGACCACCTATTTTAGCGGACCAGAGTCCGGTTGTTTAGTTCACTTCAGAGGTCTCGGATTGTGTTCACACCGACCCAAATGAACCGCACCAAGCGGCTAAACGCACCTGGGTTCGATTCAACCGGACTATACAAGGCAGGTGTGAACGCACCCTAATGTACTTCAAAAGATCCAAAGCAAAACCTTTTATCAACCTGTTTCTTAAGTCGTAAACACATAAGAGAAAACTGTTTCTATCAGACTAAGAGATTGGACTAGAAAAAAAAAATCACTGTACGTTAAAGGTAGGGTAGGTAAGAATGGAGAAACCAGCTCGAGTGCGCTAGAATTTGAAAGTACACAGCCCTTCCTTCAGACTTCCTTACAGAGCCCCTCCTCCAACACACACGAACGCGCACATGACCAATGAGGGCACGAGATAAGTTTGTGCACAGATGGAAGGCTGACAGGCAGGTAGGCCATCCAGTTATTTTAGCCGGGCCGGCTAACATGATTGGTCGTACTTTTTACAGCGCTACGGCTTCCAGAGATACATTTTTTAATGTATTTATTGTCAAAGCATTTCATATATTCATTGCTATCGGGATGTTAAGAGCATTCCATGGAATATAACAAAAAGTGTTTTACCTACCCCACCTTTAAATACTTCCTGTCATTAATTTTATTATATGTTTTTAAAGCTTCAGCAGTACAAAATCTTTCTCATCTGTAGGGATGGGTATCATTAAGGTTTTAACGGTACTACTACTTTAATCGATACCGCTTATGATCAATAAGCGGTTACGATTAAAGTAGTAGTACCGGTCCAAGTATTTACTGCAAAAATACAGTAGTACAGAGCAACACAGGTGGGGCAGGTGGGGCATACAGGTATGCTGCAAAACGCCTAACGGTTCTTCTGGAGGAAGATTGAGGTTGTGGTGGAACATTACGGGACATAATGTGTTGTTTAAACAAATTGCTCGTGTTACCGCCCTTACATGCTAAATTCTTATTGCACTTTTGGCAACGAGCATTGTCCACCTCGGAGCGCGTTCTCTCCGCCATCTCTGCCGTGTGTGTGTGTCTGTGTGTGATGCATGTAGCAGCCGCGTGTGTGTAAACCGCCCTGCCCCGCCCCCTCGCACACAGACGGGAGAGAGAGAGAGATCTCTCGTTTGGATTGGAAAGATCAAAAATACATCATAGATGTATTTTGTAGTCTTATTTGGCGAAGTTGGTGAAACTAAAACTGCAATATAATGTTTATGTAATAATACATATACTACCATATTTTTTAAATGTCTCCATTACCAATAAAAAGAGCGATTAACGTCGGAGCTTAACGGTACCAGTGTCTTTAATAATTCCGCCCCAGGGCCGATTAATATTGGGGCTCGGTACCATCCCTACTCATCTGAACACTGGGACGGTACACACGTTCCGTCACTGGTTTCCTTCATATCCCCTGAGCCAAAATGGCTGCCCTGAGGAGAGAGCTGCAGGTGTACTCACTGACGATGTGCCCAGTGGTCTGGAAGGCCAGCTCTACGATGGTCTCATCGTGGTCGGAGGCTGCCTGGTGGAACACCGAGAAGATGTTCTTCCATCCCGAACGGATGTTAGCCGCCTGCGAGTTGACCATCTGAGCCACACACCTGATCACCATGTCTCTGATGGTGGGGGACCTGAGGGGAGGGGAGGGGCTTAATATAGAGCAATACTGTGTTTTCTCTGAGAACATCAACCAACACTCCCCTATAATTATAAAGAATCCATTCCACTTTCAAATGTAATTGAAGAGGCTAAATTGAGAGGATGTACATTTGTGTTCTCTAGGAAACAATTGTACTATAAACAGACTTTGTAGAATGATCATTAAGCAGCATAAAGCACGATCAATGTGCAGATGCTGTGTTTTAAGATTAGAAGTATGCCAAAGTGACTTTTGTACACAGAAATGTCAGTCTCTCAGGATCCCATCCCACCATACTACCGTTTGTTACCTGTTCTTCTTCATGATGTGCTCAAAAGGCCGGAGGAAGTCTTTCTGGAAGCGGAAGTTAGCCAGCTCTCCTTTCTCCAAGAACTTCATGGAGAGCTGCCTCAGGGAGTCCACAGCAAAGATGGCTACATCCTCGTTGGGGTTACAGCCCACCTGGAGGACACAGCAGTCAGGAGGGGAGCTCAGAGATCAGTCAATAAACACTAATTAACAACAATCATGATTCAATGTTTCTTCACAAGACAATTTGGTCATTTTGTGTACTGTATCATCTCAATTAAAAGGACAGCTCAGCCCAAAGTTTAAATAGTCAATTTACAAACAGTTGGACTCTTTCAGCAGAAATAGAACAACATCAGCTTCCATTCTATTTAGAGTTGTGTTTCCGGCCATTTGGAGAATGGAAGTCTAACATTCACGCTGAGTGTATGAAATAATGATATAGTGTAGGATCTAAATTTCCTTTAATGAAACGGATATGTTTGGACCTTTGTACCCTACCGAATTAATAAATTAAACTCTATGTAAATAACAAGCTCAGTAAAGGAACACTTCAGTGCAATCCTATTCTTAGGGGTGACTTGTGCGTACAAACTTAGGACAAAAGTGTCCCATCTAAGTACATCAAAATAAATGACAATATCCTTAAACGACCTGTAGTAGTAAGAAGTCCTCAAGGGGGCAATACAGGACAAAGGTCTTCCTCCTGCTGCTGCCTGGCACCCCCCCCCACTCACTAACACACTGTAGCACATACCTTTGTAAATCCTCTAGCACACTGACCTTGTTGAAGTGGTCTCCTATGACCTGCCAGATTCGGGACCACTGCAGCCTGATGCGGTTCATGTTGTAGTACGAGATCTCCACGATCTTCTGCAAGCTGAACATCCTGGGCTGGTGTGCTGAGGCAAGCTCGTCCATGGACACGGCACACAGCCAGCGCACAAAGTCCACTGGAAACATTCAAAACAGCAACGCACAATGAAGAACTGCTCCTTCTTTCCTTATTTGGAACATACACAGACAGAGATACTGTGCGCCACACTCACCGATTGCGTTTCCATCTAGTCTGGTGGATCCAGTGAAGATCCTGCAAAGACAGAAGAAGCGTTAGTATTTGTACAGAACCGAACCCTTCATTCATCATCAAAAACATATATTGATCATGCATTAATGATGTTATGGATGTCTATTTTGTCTTACCTGTCCACAGCTACCACCACACTCTGAGAACTGGTCTCTCCCACTGACTCCTGGATGTGAGCCATCTGTCTCTTGTCCTGACTGCCGACCAGGTTACCTGCAACACCAAAGCATTTAACACAAGATAATGCATACAGGTGTTAATGCAGAGTGTGTGCTGTTGTATCTAATTCAAACCCTATGTAGGTGTGATCCTGAAGAAAGAGACATATTAAGCAGGAGATTATAAGAGATATAAGAGTGTGTCTCACCCAGGCCCAGGGGCATGAACTCCTCTGTGCCGGAGGGTAGACCCTTGATGCCGGCCTCCTTGTCCCGCACCACCCCTGAGATGTAGCGCGTCTTCACCCCGGTGCCGATCAACTGGGCGAGCTCCAGCTGACTGATGCACCTCAAGATCTACAACACACAGAACACACATTAGTTCTACTGGATTTTTCTTCCATTTTATTAGAGCTAAAAATGATTCTGACTCAGTTTATATGACAAATATCTTAAGCAGTGCTCCTAAATGAGCTCTTTTATTATATTAAGCTCTAAAGGTTGAGGCATTTCCTTTGAGGGATGAGAATATAATTCAACAGGGCCACTAATTATCAAACATCTAAGAATCTGCCATAAGAAATTGGCATTTATATATCTCCTATCATAACACATCAAGTATTGAATGAATAAAGCCCACGAGGTAAGGCTTGTTTATAGCGGTGAAGATTGCAGGAAATGGCTTTTTGCTAATGAAGCGGTTGTTGATCCCCTACACCTGTCGGCTAGTTGTGAGGAGTGAGTAATTGCAAAAAGGTCGTTTTTCAAAATCATGCAGCCCTATCTAAGCAAATGGAATACACTGGCAAGTGTGTGTGCAAATGATATAACTCTTTACACAAGATATTTCTTAGAATACGTTTCTCTTGGAAACTAAAGTGGAGGCTCACCTCGTGCCAGGAGTTGCCCAGGTAGTTCCCGTCAGTGTGGGCCACAGTGATCAGGGTCTTGATGGTGTCGATGTTCTTCTGCTTCATCTCTGTGATGCTGGAGCTGGCTGTCAGCAGGGTGAATCTGGCCAGAGCCTGGACATACGCATCCCGCTCCAGCTGCACACAGGATCATGTGAGAGGTTAGAATAAACTCAGAGTAATGCTTATTGTATTCCCTCATACACCTTGGCAACACATTTTTAGTACAATTAAAAAAGAAAATGGATTCCTGCTCCAGATACTCTACGACATGAATACTTTGCAAGTTTAACATTGAACAATCATGTCCCTATGCACGATGATGGACCACTATTCACAATTGGTTGAGCCATTCAACATTTATTATACATTTTCACAGTTTTGTTTGGGGTTCCAGATGAATATTGTCCTCAGATAAATAAATAAATAATTATGTTGGCTAAAATGATTTGTATTTACAGCTGAATAAAAAATAAATCTTAAATCATAAAAGAAAATTCCTCCTAACCGTCACAAAGGAACGCGACACGACATGAAATGGAAAAAATGGGCTCTAGTTGAGAGAGGGACCTTAAAAACAAGAAATATGCTCTTCACTTTTCAGTTTCTGTATTCAATTGGTACTGTGAACCATTTTGTTTTTCATGTACTAAAGAGATCCTATTCATTTGGTCTTTTTGAAACCAATCGGTGTGTTTGTGAGGCTATATTCTTATTTCATTCATATTTGTTAGGCATATTATGTTGAAACATTTAGGTGAAACATTTGAAAATACATAGTAATAACGTAGGGCTTGATGCGTTTTCAGATGTCAGACCTGCATGCTGAAGATGCAGGCGATCCTGATGGCACAGCGGATTCCCTCCAGGCACAGAGAGGCCACCTCGGGGTCATCACAGTCCTGCAGCCCCACGCTGAACGCCGCCAGCAGGGGGGTCCACGCCAGCTGCAACACACACTCAGTATCAGCAGGGGCTTCACAACGCCAACACTTCCCCTCTGTGGTTACTATCTGCACTGCTCTGTCCAAACATGTGGTTTACTACAGTCAGGAATCTACAGTGAAGTAGGGCTGCTTGCAATACTTATTTAACATGGTTACTTATTGACTTTGGAAACATCGTGCATTTGTTAAACAAGTCTCTTTTACAGTGGGTCTTTTCTTGAACTTTAAATACAAATGTACTGAATTTTTTTTGCAAATATAAAAAATAATTCGATCAAAATAAATATAATGGATTAAGTTCAGAAAAAGCTTATCTTTCTTTCTTTCTTTCTTACAGTGCAGACGCTTTTCTGCTTGCTCTTGCCTCTGCTTACTTTTTATGCTTATTTTCCTATTCTTATTCTCTGAAAACTTCGAGCAGCGGGTCCTGGAGATTAACTTA